TTTTATAGAACCCCCCCTTAATATTTCTTGCAGGGCCAGCTTAGTGGTCACATATTCTTTCAGTTTCTGCCTGTCTTGGAAGCTCTGCATCTCTCCATCCATTCTAAATGACAGCCTTGCTGGATAAAGTATTCTTGGCTGCATGTTCTTCTCATTTAGTACCCTGAATATGCCTTGCCAGGCCTTTCTGGCTTGCCAGGTCTCTGTGGATAAGTCTGACGTTATTCTGATGTTCCTCCCTCTGTACGTAAGGAATCTCTTCCCCCTAACTGCCCTTAAGATGGTTTCCTTGGTTCTAAGATTTGCAAGTTTTACTATTACATGCTGGGGCATTGGTCTGTTTTCCTTGATCTTGGGAGGGTTCCTCTCTCCTCTTGGGCGCGAATCTTTGTTTCATTCCCCAGATTAGGGAAATTCTCAGCTATGATTTGCTCTAATATATATTCTAGGCCTCTCTCTCTCTCTCCACCCCTCAGGGGGAGATGAACCATGAGAAACTGTAGACTCTGAGAAACAAACTGAGGGTTCTAGAGGGGAGGGGGTTGGGGAGATGGGTTAGCCCAGTGATGGGTATTAAAGAGGGTATGTAATGAATGGAGCACTGGGTGTTATATGGAAACAGTCATGGAACACTACATCAAAAACTAATGATGTAATGTATGGTGATTAGCATAACATAATAAAATAAAATAAAAAGAAAGTGTTTGTATTGGAAAGGAACAAGTAAAACTACCTCTTTTTGTAGATGTCATGATCTTGTATACAGAAAATCTTAAGGGATCCACTAAAATATATATGAAGAAATAAATAAATTCACATTTTGCTGCATACAATATTTATAAATAAAAATCAATTGTATTTCTATACACTAATTGTTACAGGTTGAATTGTGTTCCCCAAAGAGTTATGTTGAAGCTCTAACTCCTAGTATCTCATAATGAACTTATTTTCAAATAGGGTCATTGTAGATGTAATTCGTTTAGATGAGGTCATACTGGGATAGGATTGGTCCTTATTCCAATATGACTGGTATCCTTGTAATAATTGGAGAAGACAGTACACAAAGAGGGAAGAAGTAATGGAGGCAGAGATTGGATTTAAGCTACTACAATCCAAAGGATACAAGGGACTACTAGAAGCTAGAAGATGCAAACAGGGATTCTCCTTTAGAAGTTTCAGAGGGAGCATGGCTCTAACAACTTAATTTTAGATTTATAGTCTCCAGAACTGTAAGAGCATAAATTTTTGTTTTAAGTTACCCAGATTGTGATTTTTTTTTTTACAGCAGCCTTAAGACTAGTACACTGTGATGAACATTCCACAAATGAAATAAAGAAAACAATTCCATTTAAAATAACATCACAGACAACAAGAAAGAATTTAACAAAAATAGTATAAGACCTGTGTACTGTAAACTGCAAAGCTTTGAAAGAACTTAAAGAAGACCTAATTAATGGATATTCCATTTTCATGGGCTGTTAGATTTAATAATCTTGAGATGGCAATGCTCCTCAAATTGATCTACAGATTCAATGCAATCTGTCAAAATCTCAACTTTCTTTTTGATGAACTGACAAGCTGATTTGAAAATTCATGTACAAATGCAAGGAATCCAGAATAGCCAAAGAAATCTTAGGAAGAACAAAGTTGGAGGACTCACATTTAATTAATTATTTTTTTATTATGATTTTTTACATTTAACTAATTTTAAATCTTTATACAAGGCTGTAGTAATCAATACAAAGTGGTACTGGCATAAGGTTAGACCTATATACATCAGTGGAATAAAATAGAATATCCAGAAATAAACCCTTAAATTTATGGTCAATTGATTTTTAACAGGGAGGCCAACACAATTCAGTAGAGAAAAGAATAGTCTTTTTTTAAAAAAATTTTTTTATTTTTTATTCAAGTATAATTAAAAGAGTCTCATATTAGTTTCAGAGGTGTATAAGATGATTCAAAAATTCTATACATTACTTGGTGTATTCTTAAACCCCTTTATCTATTTCATCCATCCACCCACCCACCTCTCCTCTGGTAACCACCAGTTTGTTCTCTATATTTAGGAGTCTGTTTCTTGGGTTGTCTCTCTCCCTTTTTTCCTTTGTTCTTTTGTTTTCTTAAACTCCACATATGGGGGCGCCTGGGTGGCTCAGTTGTTAAGTGTCTGCCTTCAGCTCAGGTCATGATCCCAGGGTCCTGGGATCGAGCCCCACATCGGGCTCCCTGCTCGGCGGGAAGCCTGCTTCTCCCTCTCCCACTCCCCCTGCTTGTGTTCCTGCTCTTGCTATCTCTCTCTGTGTCAAATAAATAAATAAAATCTTAAAAAAAAAAAAAAGAAAACAAGAAACTCCACGTATGAGTGAAATCATATGATATCCGTCTTTCTCTGACATATTTCAGTTAGCATTGTACCCTCTAGATTCATGTTGTTGCAAATAGCAACATTTCATTCTTAATATGGCTGAATAAATACTCCATTGAATGTGTGTGTATATCCATCTATATCTATATCATCTATATCTGTATTTCTTCTTTATCAATTCATCTACTGATGGACACTTTGGCTGCTTCCATAGTTTGGCTATTGTAAATAGTGCTGCAATAAACGTAGGGGTGCATCTATCCTTTTAAATTAGTGTTCTTGTATTCTTTGGTTAAATTCCCAGTAGTGTGATTACTGGATTTGTAAGGTAGTGCTATTGTTTATTTTTTTTTTTAAGGAACCTCCATACTGTTTTCCACAGTGGCTGCAACACTTTGTATTCCCACCAAAAGTTCACAAGTGTTTCTTTTTCTCCATATCCTTACCAACGCTTATTTCTTGTGTTTTTGATTTTAGCCATTATAGAGGGTGGGAGGTGATATCTTATCATGGTTTTGACTTGCATTTCCCTAATGATTAGTGATGTTGAGTATCTTTTCATTTGTCTGTTTGCTGTGTGTATGTCTTTGGAAAAATGTCGATTCATGTCCTTTGCCCATTTAAAAATCAGATTGTGGGTTTTTGTGGTGTTGACTTCAGTAAATTCTTTATATATTTTGGATATTAACCTTTTATTGGATATATCATTTGTGGAAAGAATAGTCTTTTTAATAACTGATATTTCGACAACTGGATGTCCATATGGGAAAGAATGAAGTTGCATCCTTTCTTCGTGCTATCCACTAGAACTAACTCAAAAATTACCAAAGACCTAAATTTAAGAGCTAGAACTATAAACCTTTTAGAAGAAACATAGGAATAAATCTTTGTGGCCTTGAGTAAGGTAATGTCTTCTTAAATAGGACACCAAAAGCACAACCAACAAAAGAAAAGAAAATAGATAAGTTGACTTTCATAAAATTAAAAACTTTTGTACTGCAAATGATAAATCAAGAGTGTGAAAAGGTAACTCAGAATGCAAGAACTATTCACAAATCATCTATTTGATAAGGGACTTGTATGTAGAATATATAAAGAACTCTTATGCCTCAATAATAAAAAGATAAATAACCCAAATTAAAAATGGGCAAATAATCTGAAATAGACATTTTCTGAAGCAAGGTATACCAATGGTCAATAAGCACATGAAAAGATATTCAATATCATTGTCATTAGGGAATTTCAAATCAAAACTGCAGTGATATACCACTTCACACCCATTAGGATGGCTGTAAGAAAAAAAAGATGACAGTAACAGTTGTTGGCTAGGATGCAGAGGAATTGGGACCCTCATACATTGCTGGTGGAATTGAAGTGGTGTGTCTGCTATGGAAACGAGTTTGTCAGTTCTTCAAAATGTTAAATACAAAGTCAACATATGACCCAGAAATTCTGTTCCTAGGTTTATACCTGAGTGATCAAAAACATATATAAGCAAAAACTTGTACATGGATATTCATAGTAGCATTATTCATAATAGCCCCAATTGGAAACAATATAAATGCCCATAAACTGATGAATGGATAAATAAAATGTGTACACCTGTACAATGGAATAATATTTGGCAGTTAAAAGGAACACAGCACTGATATATGCCACAACATGGATGAACCTTGAAAACATTATGCTAAAGAGCTTTCAATAATAAAATAAAATAAATATATTTTTATTTAAATGAAATATCCAGAATAGGCAAATCTCTAGAGACAAAAAGTAGATTAGTGTCTGCCAGTGTTGAGGCAGTGCTGGGAAGAATGGGGAGTGACTGTTAATGGGTACAGAGTTTCTTTTTGTGGTAATTAAAATGTTCTAAAATTCAATAGCTAAAATAGATGCTCAAGTTGGCGAATATATTAAAACCCATTGAATTGTACACTTTAAATAAATGAATTGGATGGTATGTTAATTATATCTTAAAGCTTAAAAAATTTGGATTATAATAAATAACTAATTTATCAAAAATATAGTTTACTCATACCTTAGAGCAGTGTTCAGCAAACTGCAGCCCCTGAGTCAAATCTAGCCAGACCCATTCATTTACCTATCATCTATAGCTGCTTTTGCAGAGCTGGGGTAGTGACCGATTGATCATCTGACCTGCAAAGTCTAAAATATTTCCTATCTGGCTCTTAATAGAAAAAGTTTGCCAAATCCTGCTATGGAACAAGAAGTGGTACTTAAAAGGAGTGAAATATATCTGTATTTATTAATATAAGTAGATCTCAGACATTGGGTTAAGTGAAAATAATAAGTTTAGGACAATATATACATTGATGCCATTTATGTGAAAAAGAAAACAAAACAGTCATCTAACCCACTAGCAAAAATTATAGAATCGAATAGGTACATGTAGCGTTTTATGAATGCATCAAGCAAGTTCTGAAAAGATACACAACAATCTGATAATATCTCTAGAGAGAGAATTGGATTTTTGGAATGGTAGTCAAAGCGTACTTCAACCTTGTTTGTATTCTTAATTTTTTTTCAAAGAAAATATGTAAGTATGTTATATAAGTAAAAATAAAAATGTAAAAGGATAATACATTATAGATATTTTTGGTTTGTTTTTCAGAGCTGTGAGTGATCAAGGTTTGTTAGAGGCTGTAAGTATAGCACTCTCAGTTTGAAATTGCACTTTGCCCTTGATAATGTTAGATTCTAGAAATTGTCAGGATGAATAATCTTAAAGATTCAATACTTCCTCAGTTTATTCAAGAAATTTCTGTGCATATGTATGCTGGGAAGCTTTGTCTTTTTTGACTTTACTAGACCTTATTATCACTCAAAAACCGTTCACTTCTGAAATATTGAACTATAATACCATATAGTCTTCTAAATTTCTATTCATTGTACTTATAGTTTGTTTGCCTCTTTCAGCCCCAATTATCATTCATTATGCAGATTAATACCAATGGTTCATATTTTCATGAGTTAATGAAGAATTTCTTACTTTAATAATTAAGTGCCCAAATAATTTCTCTATATTGAAATGTATGCTTTTCATCATTACTAAAATTATAATATTTGTTTTTAGAAATTCAAACAAATGGAAAGTGATTTTCAAGTGTTATTAGAGGAGAAATTGGGGCTGGAAAATGAATTACAAAAGCTGAAGAATACTGAGGTTAGTTCAATTTTAGTGTCTGAAAATGGTAGAATACCTAAAAAACCTTATTATTGTAGGATAGAAATTAAAGATATATTTAAATGCTTTATAATACATTTTTGATATTAATAATAGTTAACAGCTGTGCTTTAAAAAATAAAATAATGCTATTTTCTAAATTACCATATTAGCTATTAAAACCAAAAAAATGCTATGAAAAATGGACATAAAATTTAAACATTCCAAAAGACATTTCTAGGCCAAATATTTATTTATTAAAATTTCAAGTAATTAAAAAATGTCCAATTAATTAGAGTTTTCAAATATATTTTCTTTTTAAGTCTTAAAAAAATTCCAGTTAACATACAGTGTATTAATATTAGCTTCAAGTGTACAATTTACTGATTTAATCCTTACATACAACACCCAGTGCTCATCATAATAAGTGCACTCCTTAATCCCCATCACCTGCTTAACCCATTCCCCCACCCACCTCCTTACTGGTAACCCTCAATTTGTTCTCTATAGCTGAGTCTGTTTCTTGGTTTTCCTCTTTTTTCCCCCTATGATCGTTTGTTTTGTTTCCTAAATTCCACATATGAGTGAAATCATATGTTATTTGTCTTTCTCTTATTTTTTTTTAAAGATTTTATTTATTTATTTGAGAGAGAGAGTGAGAGAGCACAAGCAGAGGGAGCAGCAGAGGGAGAGGGAGAAACAGGCTCGATGTGGGGTTAACTATGTGGGGCTCAATCCCAGGACCCAGGGATCATGACCTGAGCTGAAGGCATATGTTTAACCGACTAAGCCATCCAGGTGCCCCTCTCTGACTTATTTTGCTTAGCATAATATTCTCTAGTTCCATCCATGTCATTGCAAATGGCAGGAATTCATTCTTTTTCATGGCTGAGTAATATTCCACCATGTGTATGTGTGTATGTCCATATGTATGTATGTTTGTATGTTTGTGTGTGTGTGTGTGTGTGTATACACATCACATCTTTTTTATCCATTCAACAGTCAATGGACATTTGGGCTCTTTTCATAATTTGGCTGTTGGTTGATAATCTGGGGACATGTATCCCTTTGAATTATTATTTTTGTATTTTGGGGGTAAATGCCTAGTGGTGTAATTGCTGGATAGTAGGGTATTCTATTTTTAACTTTCTAAGGAACCTCCAAACTGTTTTCCAGAGTGGCTATACCAATTTGTATTCCTACCAACAGTGCAAGAGTGTTTCCCTTTCTCCATATCCTGCCAACACCTGTTGTTTCCTCGGTTGTTAATTTTAGCTATTCTGACACATGCGTGAAGATATCGCATTGTAGTTTTGATTTGCATTTCCCTGATGATGAGTGATGTTGAGCATGTCTTTATGTGTCTGTTGGCCATCTGGATATCTTCTTTGGAAAAATATCTATTCATGTCTTCTGCCCATTTGTTAACTGGATTATTTGTTTTTTGGGTTTTGAGTTTTATATTTTCTTTATATTTTTTTGGATACTAAACCCCTCATCAGATATGTCATTTGAAAATATCTTCTCCCATTCCAAAGATTACCTTTTAGTTTTGTTGATTGTTTCCTTCTCTGTACAGAGGCTTTTTATTTTGATGTCCCAATAGTTTATTTTTGCTTTTGTTTCTCTTGCTTCAGGAGATATACCTAGTAAGAAGTTGCTACAGCTGATGTCAAAGAGGTTATTGCCTGTGTTGTCCTCTAGGATTTTGATGGTTTCCTGTCTCACATTCAGGTCTTTAATCCTAATCCTTTAGTCCTTTTGTGTATGGTATAAGAAAGTACTCCAGTTTCATTCTTTTGTATGTTGCTGTCCAGTTTTCCCAACACCATTTGTTGAGAAGACTTTTTTCCATTGGATATTCTTTCCTGCTTTGTTGAAGATTAATTGAATGTGTGTAGTTTTGGGTTCATCTCTGGGTTTTCTATTCTGTGCCATTGATCTATTTGCCTGTTTTTGAGCCAGTACCATACTGTCTTGATCACTACAGCTTTGTAATATAACTTGAAGTATGGAATTGTGATGCCCCCAGCTTTACTTTTCTTTTTCAAGGTTGCTTGGCTATTTGGAGTCTTTTGTGGGTCCATACAAATTTTAGGATTGTTTGTTCTAGCTCTGTGAAAAATACTATTGGTATTTTGATAGGAATTGCATTAAATGTGTAGAATTTGGGTAATATAGACATTTTAACAATGTTTGTTCTTCCTATCCATGAGCATGGCATGTTTTTCCATTTCTTTGTGTCACATTCAATGTCTTTCATCAATGTTTTATAGTTTTCGGAGTATAGATCTCTTACCTCTTTGGTTAGGTTTATTCCTAGGTATCTTATGGTTTTTGGTGCAGTTGCAAATGGGATTGGTTCCTTGATTCTCTTTCTGCTGCTTCATTACTGGCGTGTAGAAATGCAATAGATTTCTGTATGTTGATTTTGTATCCTGAAACTTTACTGAATTCATATATCAGTTCTAGCAATTTTTTTGGTGTAGTCTTCAGATTTTCTATATAGAGTATCATGTCATCTCCCAATAGTGAAATGTGATTTCTTCCTTGCTGATTTGGATACTTTTATTTCTTTTTGTTGTCTGATTGCTGTAGCTAGGATTTCCAGTACTATGTTAAATAACAGTGGTGAGAGTGGACATCCCTGTCTTGTTCCTGACTGTAGGAGAAAAGCTCTCATTTTTTCCCCATTAAGGATGATATTAGCTGTGGGTTTTTCATATATGGCTTTTATGATGTTGAGGTATGTTCCCTCTATCCCTACTTTGTTGAGGGTTTTTACAATGGATGTTGTACTTTGTCAAATCCTTTTTCTGCATTTATTGAAAGGATCACCCTTTCTTTTGTTAATGTGCTGTATCACATTGATTGATTTGTGAATATTGAACCACCCTTGCAGCCCAGGAATAAATCCCACTTGATTTTGGTGAATGATTTTTTAATGTGCTGTTGGATTTTGTCTGTTAGTATTTTATTGAGAATTTTTGTATCCTTGTTCATCAGGGATATTGGCCTGCAGTTTTCTTTGTTATTGGAGTCTTTATCTAGTTTTGGTACCAGGGTAATGTTGGCCTCGTAGAATGAATTTGGAATTTTTCCTTCCTTTTCTATTTTTTGGAATAATTTGAGAAGAATAGGTATTAACTCTTCTTTAAATGTTTGGTAGAATTTGCATTTGAAGCCATCTGGCCCTGGACTTTTGTTTCTTAGGAGATTTTTTTATTACTGATTCAATTTCTTTGCTGGTCATTGGTTTGTTCAATCTTATATTTCTTCCTGTTTCAATTTTGGTAGTTTGTATGTTTATACGTTTCTAGGAATTTATCCATTTCTTCCAGGCTTATTGGTATACAATTTTTCATAATATTCCCTTATAATTGTTTGTATTTTTGTGGTGGCGGTGATTATTTCTCCTCTCATTTGTGATTTGATTTACTTGGGTCCTTTCTCTTTTCTTTTTGATAAGTTTGGCTAGGGGTTTATCAATTTTATTAAATTTTTCAAAGAACCAGCTCCTGGTTTCAATGATCTGTTCTATTGGTTTTTTTTTTTTTTTTTTTTTTTTTAGTTTCTATAGCATTTGTTTCTGCTCTAATCTTTATTATTTCCCTCCTTCTGCTGACTTTAGGCTTCATTTGTTGTTCTTTTTCTAGCTTGTTTAGATGTAAGGTTAGTTTGTTTATTTGAGATTTTTCTTGCTTCTTGAAGTAGGCCTGTATTATTATATACTTCTCTCTTAAGACCACTTTGGCTGCATCCCAAATGTTTTGGACCATTGTGTTTTCATTTTCATTTGTTTCCACAATTTTTTTTTTATATCTTCCTGATTTTCTGGTTGACCCATTCATCGTTTAGTAGCATATCGTTTAACCTCCATGTATTTGTGGTCTTTCCAAATTTTTTCTTGTTGTTGACTTCAAGTTTTATAGCATTGTAGTTGGAAGATATGCATGATATGATCTCAATCTTTTTGTACTTGTTGAGGCCTGATTTGTGACTTAGTATGTGATCTATTCTGGAGAATGTCCCATATACACTCAAAAAGAATGTATACTTTACTGCTTTGGGACGGAATGTTCTGAATATAACTTAAGTCCATCTGGTCTATCTGTCATTCAAAGCCATTGTTTCCTTGTTGATTTTCTGTTTAGATGACCTGTCCATTGATGTAAATGGGGTGTTAAAGTTCCCTATTATTATTGTATTATTATCAATTAGTTCCTTTATGTTTGTTATTAATTGTTTTATATATTTGGGTGCTCCCATCTTGGCGGCATAAATATTTGCAATTGTTAGATCTTCTTGTCAGATAGTCCCCTTTATTATTTCCTTCTTCATCTCTTGTAACAGTCTTTGGTTTAAAATCTAATTTGTCTCATAAATATTGCTACTCCAGCTTTCTTTCGACCTCCATTTGCATGGTAAATATTTCTCCATCTCTTCACTTTCAATCTGCAGGTGTCTTTAGTTCTAAAATGAGTCTCTTGTAGGCAGCATATAGATGAGTCTTGTTTTTATATCCATTCTGACACCCTTTGTCTTTTGATTGGAGTGTTTAGTCTATGTATATTCAGAGTAATTGCTGATAGATATGAATTTAGTGTTCTTGTATTACCTGTAAAGTGAGTGTTTCTGGAGATTTCTCCACTCAAAGAGTCCCCTATAATATTTCTTGAAGGGCTGGTTTAGTGGTTATGAGCTCCTTTGGTTTTTGTTTCTCTGGGAAACTCTCTATCTCTCCTTCTATTTTGAATGATAACCTTGCTGGATAGAATATTCTGGCTGCAGACTTTTCCCATTCAGTACTTAGAGTATATCATGCCACTCTCCTCTGGCTTGCCAAGTTTCTTTTGAAAAATATCCTGCTTGCTCTATGGGTCTTCCCTGGTAAGTTAGGGACTTTGGTCTTGCTGCCTTTTTTTTTTTTTTTTTTAAGATTTATTTATTTATTTATTTGACAGAGAGAGAGAGACAGCGAGAGAAGGAACACAAACAGA